TTTTTTTTTTTTTTTTTTTTTGTTCACGAAGTTCTTAGGAAAGCTAAGAGTCGCATAAATATATGTATAGACTTTGATTGAGTTAATTAACACAGGTGGACCCATCACGGTGCATTTCTTTCCTTGCGTAGTGTATTCCATGTAAAGATGATTCGTATGTATTGTAATTAGAAACACGTTGACGTGTATTTTTTTCCAGTATTCGAAGATCGCTTTAAGAAAGACCAAATTTCGATTATTAAGTTTATTACGTTTATTATATTATTAAATAACTATATTGAGATAAAAATTTTAAATTTCTAATATTTAATCGTAGAAAAGTAGGGATTTAATTAAATTAAATTATTGATTCGGTATTTATATTTAGATTAAAAAAAAGAAAAAAGATATATTTATTTTTCCAATTGAATTTTTTCGATATAATTATAATCGAATTAAAAAATAGCTTTTCGTTAATTAAAACGAGTCGAGAATAATAAAATAGTTCTAAGTAGAAAAGAAAAAAATTTAAATTTCTTGGTATTCGAGTATTTTAAGTATTTTTCCTTCTTTTTTTTTCGTGTCATTTTTTTCCCCTATTGATTAGGAGAAACTGATTACTTTCAAAATAATAATTATTATCTATCTTTTGAAGTAGTATAAGTTCCTATTGCTGCTTCCTTATTGCTCTTAAGATAAGATTTTTCTAAAATTCTTTTAGATATAGTTATTTAGTAATTCCAGACATATAAATATCTTTGATAGATATTAAATTAATAATATTGATTTTATGTAATGACTAAGAAAAATCTGGAAACGATGTATCTATATTAGTAATTGATGAAAATTTAATTTTGAGTGAATTTATAATTAATTGATAATAATCGGGAGAAAAAAAAGAAATCATGAAAGTCTGTTATACAATATGTTTTTATGTCACAATAAGAGATAAGACACTCGATTTGAAATTTGAAATACACGTCAGCGTCCCATGTGTGGTAATTATCAATTTTGTTTACTTGATCATCGATCATTAACACGAATAAAATATCTTCCTTCAAAGTGAACAAAAATTCTCTTCGTTTCCTACGTTTCTTACGTAGTCTATCTACTTACGTATAAGTAGTACACACCACATGTGGGTTAACGAACAAACAAACAAACAAAAAAAAGCAATAAAAGAACAGTTAAAAATATAAAAAAGAATGACTGATCAAAAAAAAAAAAAAAAAAAAATGACGGAT